TCCATACGCAAGAGCATGCTAATTGAATGCGTATGAACAATTTCAAAACGAAGCAAGCTATTGAAGAACAAACTTAAATTAATGAAACAAGATATCAATAGCCTAGTTTGAAGTCATTATTTTTTCAAGTTATACGGTTGATACAATGAATACTGTCTACACTTTTATCAATATGTCATTGATGTTTATCAAACCAATAGTTAAGCCTTATTTAATCAATGAATTGTGTACGGATTTTTGAGTTTTTTCTTTATCAAGAAAGGGAGCACACGGTGGGTTTGACCGTTCAGCTGGCCACGGTAATGTTCACTCCTCAATGGCATCTCATCCCACCTATGGTGTTTTGGGAGGTCTGTGTTTGTTCTGCACCCGGTTTGTATTGTTTGAATGGACTTTGAGCTTAAATACTGTTTGATATTATTATATTGCATGAAGTATTCGCTCTTAAATCTGCAATAAATAACACTTTGGTTTTTAAATTTTCTGTAGCAAAAACTATATTTTTAACCATTGTAAGAAAGCACATTCTGTTTCATAGTTATAATATGTAATATATAATTGGGTTCACATCTACATTAAACAAAATCTAAAAGAATTTCTGGAAGACTTTAGTTTTAGGGTATATTTTATCAATAAGGTTTTCATCTCACTGCAGGCCATTGAGATCGTCCTTCTTATGAGTCCGTATAAACCGAGGCCTCTAATTGCAGTACATATTGGCTCGAAAAGATCCCTCGACGCTAAAAAAAAAACAATACCAAAACAAAACAAGTGCCAAGAACATGTTTTTGCAGGCCCTAAATGGCTAATGATAATGATGATGTCTTAATATGGGCTAACTTTATCAAAGGGACGATAAACAAACAAATAAATGTTTTAAAGTACATATATATAGATAATTAAAAGGCTTTGTTAACCAATTTTACGTTATCCAAAGCTCATCTTTGTGACGAACTGCTTTTATAAATACAAACGAATTTTTTTCTCCCGTGCTCTCTTTGCTTATGAACGAAACTCTTCATCAAGCTTAAGAACGAAATCCGTCGATTTGCGTTGCCAGTACGGACCGTGCATGTTAATAAAATATCCTCAGAGCAAAAGGTAGGTCGTTGCTGTTACTCCCACATGGTCTAGATAGGAATTTTTTTTACCACCAAAGATAAGCCTCGTTGTCAAGTAGTTGTCGATATTTTGCCACCTGTCATTTTACAGGTTAAAAATGCAAGTTCATATCAATATTTCTACACTGAAATTGTCTCGTCGCCTAATAAAACACATTGTAGGGAAAGTTGTATGTATGTGCTCGCAGGGAGACATCGTCATGGAAAAGACAGACATAAAATACGTTGAATTTCAGAGTTTGTGAATAATGGAAAGGTACAACGTTACACTATGTCACTGTTGTGATATTTCGTGATTTAAGGGGTGTCGTGATTTTGATTCAGGCATAGAACAGTCAGGCATAATAATTTAGAAAGTAGAAAGTCAATGATTTAACTGTTCATTTTTATAGTTATCTGGAACAACCCTATCGTCATGTCATTTTTATTACAATTACGGTTGGTGACCCTTTGAGTTCAATGAAATATCAGAAATAAAAATTCATTGAAATTCCCGCCTTGTATAAACAATATTTTGACAGCTATTCTGTGAATGTCTTTCTATACATTAATTAAATTTATTAATGAGAAAATATAAAGTTTATAAATCTTACGTTTGAAGGTAATAAATAAATATATATTTGCTTATTTTTATAAACATCTGCTTCCTTCATACATATTTTCACGATTAAATGATATTTATTATTGTATAATTATCTTGATATATCCATAAAAACAAATTAATTATTCATGTATCAAAGTTTTGGCGGGAGAATGGTGGCAGGTGCTCTTTCTAGATCGAGCTTGTAAATTTCATTAAGGAAATGGTTCAAAAGATCATGTAGAGTTTCAAGTTCATATGCCTATGGCAGCAATAAATCACACCACACTTCTTGCCGGAGGGGATATTAAACTGTAATATACATGTATAGAAAGAAATTTTGAATACACTTGACCAAATGTTAGAAACTAATTAGCATGTTGTTGTGGTAGGAAATTATTTTGATTTCAGTTTGGATGAATTCAATTTCTACGTCAGGGTAGTTTATAGAGAAACTTGGATTTAACAGATGTATATAAACCGATTTAACCTTGATCAGTCGAGTACAAAAAAAAATCAAAGTCCATGCCAATGCATATTGACACTACCATGATTGCATGAGGAAAATATAAAATTTTAAACATAATAAGGAAGTTTTTCCTCCAAAACATAATTATGCACTTAATAACTGATGCAGGTCATAAGTGGTTTGAACTTTCAGTTGACTCCAAAAGTTTAAAATCGAATCAAAGAATCTGTCTTTGGTAGTTTTGGGTGTAAAAAATTTCTCTCTGTTTTCTTTAAATTGAATTTAAATGTGAAATTCTTAATTCGACCAATTTTTGGGCGTGTACATGTACATATACATTTTCCTCAATTTTGTAATCATGTAAGGATATTGCGGTTATTACATTTACTAATAAAATAAAATTGATGATCTCTACCCATCCGTTAAAGATACGGACACAAGTTTTTATCAGAAGGCGTTTGACAGTGAGAAGTGTCTATGTCACCCAACCCACCAACACAAAGGTTAGGGACAACCTTAGCTAGAAATATCCATGGTCCATCTACATGCAAGACAGCGATATGTTGATAATTCTTATCGTTTCAGCACCTGATAAACATTTCATCAATTGATACAGTCATACATGTTGTGTATGTATATGTAAGGTTTGGAATGATATATTTTTTTCAGATCTCAGCTATAGTAATAAGTATGTAACATCCACCGAAGGAATGCATGCCTTTGTGATGTACATAATTGTATGCCATCACTCGCTCGTACAGATTCAGTGTAAATGGATATACTCCTATAAATGTACACCTATCTTCCCATCTTAATGCAAACACCGTGCTTTAAAAAAGTTTTCAACAGGTTTTGCATGTGTCAAAACTATGCGATGTGTACCACACAACCGTTAAACAACTTTTTGGTGCCTCCATGTCTAGAGACAAGAGGCACCAAAGGGGTTTTTAGAAAAGGCAAACGTATCACTTAAAATATTATGTATCTTTCCGTGTGTTTCATTGTGAAAGATAAAAGTCGAGATAGAAATAACGACATACGCCCATTTTATCAATCATTACGAAGCGGAATATGAAATAAGATCTTTAAATATCTGAACTCTCAATCAGTCTGTACACAGATCAATTGATCATTATTGAACTAAAATCGATCATCCATTGTAATATCGTGTCATCACACCCATTCTTCACAGAAAAACCATTCTGAAACAGCAACTGGTTGTTAACGAACATTTGGAACATTCTAATCGTCTGCTTGCGGTTAACCGCTTAGGAAGCAAACATAGATGTTCCCTTGTGTTACCTCTGTTCCTTTGGGGTCAGCTGTTAGGACATAAATCACCAGGAACAGTTTTTCGTTATCTGTGAAAGATTTGCTATATTTGCACCAGAAGTATCACAAAAGTTTTTGTTTTTCTATTTATAAAGGAATAAATTTTCCTTCTTTTTTATTAAAGAAAATGTATTTATTAATTATCACCAAATATGTGTTTTACAAATGATTTTTTTCATATACTTCCTATCACCTGTACAAAAAATGTATATACGTGTAGATACTAAGATAGTACGAAACGCGATCTATCTTCTTGGGGATTGTAATATTTTCGTTTATCGCACATTTTTATGGATACTTTACAGTTTCTTTGGTTTGTACTGAAGTTTCTGATTATATGATTTATATCTTGGAAAAACTTGTATACAGCATACACTGTAGAGCATTCACATTTCTATAACGTGTTGAGTTAATTTCACGAGCTAGTTATGTAATGAGGACTTTAATGGTTAATGGAAAATTCTTTTTACATTGGCTGCCAAGAAGCGGATGTTAAATTAAGAGCAGTAAAGATGTACATGTAAGCAATTGAGAATGTGTGTGAGAGAGAGAGAAAGAGAGAGAGAGAAGAAAGAAAGAACGCTCGAGGGTGGGGCTATCAGAGAGACAATGAAAGATGAGACAGAGAGAGAGATAAGTATATTCAGTTCTCCAAATTGAAATCCTTTGCATTCACAATTCAAAGACATCAGTCAAGTCTCTCCATGCGAAACACAATTAGTGCCACCAGAATAAATTGACTTTCGCGAGACCGCCTGTGTATGCTTGTATAATGGTGAAAACTTAATGGGTTTTTTCGTTCACTGACGTTGTAAATGTCTACAATGGAAGACATTTATGGTTAAATGGGCTGTTTTACTTCATTTACAGAATGTTTGCTTCAAAGGGTTAAAGGTTCGACGGGACAACAGGAAGCCTTGAATCTGTGTTAGTTATCCAATTAACCAAATTATTAACTATTCAGGATCTTATATATTTTTATCTTTTAACATTCTTTTTTAAATCATTAAAGGCCTGGCATTTTTTTCTATAAATTTAGATCGATATTTGTACATCATCTTTAAAACAATATCCTTCCGCAATTTCCCTTTTACTTTAAAATAATGTAACTAATGCATTACTCTTGAGTGTTACAACGTATTTAGAAGAGAAAGGAAAAGCTCTATTTTGAAATATTTACATTGTACGTATGACTAACGTATACATATAATATCCGGAGACATATGTACAGTTCAAGTGAACACGGATGTGTAGTATTGTACTTGAACAGAGCAATTCACAAACGTAGAGCTCATCCCTGTTTTCAAAGTCCATGTACTTAAAACTTGTTGAAGCCGCATAAAAATAGACTCCCATAATGCACACGTGTAAGCACGCCATCTTGAACAGCCTTATCACTTGACTCTTTTTTGTTTTTAATTTTGTTTCTGTATTTCCTTTAGTTCAAGTCAGAATGATTTACAACATGTTATCAAAGAAATAAATCTGAAGATATGTATAAATTTGAGACATTTTTATTTTATTTTTTGTTTATCTCCAACTGTTTCAACATTGACAACAGAAAAAAAATGCTATATAAAACGATAAATGAACATGATGCCTGGATAGCTCATCTTATAACGTATGAGAACACCCTTGGGTATAAATGTATATATCCACTGAACAATATGTATCTCATGTTTCTCAAATCCAAATTCAAACAAGACAATAGTCCCTAGCTGGATTTTTTTTTATACAGATCAAAAACAAAATCATTATCTTTTTTAGAAATTGCAGTTTTTTATTCTTGTGCTCCATAAAAGAAATTGATCTTTAACATGGATATTTATGTAATTCAAGGAGAGTATGTTGCGTCTTGTATATCAGGTTTCTGTTTAAATATCAATATATATATAAGGCTGTCGTATCTTGCTTTCGGGACTATTGATTCTTTCAAGAATGTATTGGATCTGCAGAAAAACACTCAATATTCAGTTGTAACAATAGTAATCATACACAACATCACAGTCAGAAAAAAACAATATAAAATATTGAATGTACAATTTACTTTAGCACTATGTTTTCCAAATTCAACTAAAATAATCTGTACAGCATGTAACAATTAATTTTAAAACTTCATAAAATCAGAGAGTCAAAAGCACTTTGAAACTCTTCTGTTGCCAAGGCAACCCTCATTTTTTTAGAGTGACTACAGCACTTTACAAAAAAACAACAGAGAGATTTGGGGAACTTTTGTCTTTTTAAGAATTGTCTCAGCTTGGAACACATCTTTCCTGTTGTCAAAAAAAGAATCTCAGTTTTTATTTCTTAGTATACAAGTTCTTCCAAGAGTTTCTGTGTAATGACCACTTCGTTTTACAACTACAAACGGGGACATATTTCACATGACAAAATGAAGAATGAAGTTGAGATATGAAATAAATGAATCAATTAGCTGCCTTGTGACATATTTTCATACTTCACATCCCTTAGAACGTGTTATAAACATGTTTTAATATCTAGAACAGAAATTGGAAAAAAAAGTCAATTATTTCGAAAAAGTGTTTTTCTCGTTGAACTTCCTGGCTATTTTGTTGTCTTACTAAATATTACTGGTTTGCCCCTTTTGGGACCCCCACTAAATGCTTGGTCGCTAATTTGAGAGGCTAAAGATAAAAAAAGTAGTTGGTATTTTGGCGATACGCCCGCTCTTCATATTCTCAAGATTTGTGACGTCAGCGTCTAAGCTATCTGTGCGTTTGAAACCGTTCATGAACTGAGTTTTTTTCTTCTTTTTTGAGATCATCGTGTTGGCACTTAAAGTCTTCCAATTCATTAAACCATCGCTCTGGTATTTTGGTATTCCACATGTGCTAGCGTTTAAGCCCCGAATCGTTTTCTCACGGTGTTCTGCGGGCTTCTATCTTCGTTTTTTGTAGCGGGAGACAAAAAACAGTTCCCGTCCTACTGTAAACATTGTTTATTTCACCCTTCTTTTCACGTCTGCCGCACATTGGGGTCTGTTTCAAGAGTGTTTGATCTTTGGCAAAAGAAACTCGTGTGGCCTTGTGTATCATCTCCTGAGAGGGATTTTTCAAAGTCTAAGAGCTGCCCCATGAAGTTGAAATTTGGAGAGATGTTGGGTTTGCACCCTTTGACGTGGTCGTAGGCTTGGTTTAGGCTCATGTGTTCCTTTTGCATGAGGTAGGCTACGGTAACGGTAACAGACCGGCTAATGCCGGCAAGGCAGTGAACCAGGACTCCACAGCCGTTTTCACGGGCTTCGTCTATAAAAAACAAAAAAAAAATACATTTTACTTTAGGCTGCTTGTATCAGTGGTATACTCTTGTATTCTATATCGCAGATTATCTGATGGTAATAACTTTCTTTTTTATACACGTAGAATATAACACGCAATAACTGGGATTGAATTTCTAATATTGCAAATTATTTACACTGCCCGAAAGCTCGGTCGTTTTTTTTCGCTTTTTATCAACTGACAGACATGGTTATCAGAGCGTGGTTCCTTTGGCAGCGCTTGTTTACCCCATGGAGTGAATATGATTACTTCGTCCCTTTAAAAGCTTCGCGGAAGAGGAGGATTTTTTATTCATCAAAAACACCACAATTTGTGCATTTCATGATGCAATTACATCGATTTTTGGTGTTCCTTTCACAATACAATTGTCATTAATCTATCGCCAATGGTGTATTTCAAGTCGCTGCCCCAATAAAAGATAAAGCCCTTATCGCATGTGACCTAAATAAAAATAGCTGATAGAGGCACCATAAAGGGAGAAAAGTTTAAAATATACCTACCGATAAAAGCTATTGCTTCTGGAAAAAAGGCAGACAGGTTCTGTGAGAGTTGGTCGGAGACTGGGATTTGCATGTATTTAAAGTCATTGTCCTCTGCAAATTTATTTGGCACATTGGGAGTAACATTCAAAATGTATTTAATTCCAAACTTCTTCAGCAAGTTAATATCCGCGGAGTTTTTAGCGTTTCCGAGGTAAAGGTGGTTAAGAACTTCCACTGGATAAGGGGACATACATCCCGGAGAATTCAGATTTTCACTGTCTGATTCAGAGGTTCCGTTTCCGGAATCATCCGAAATTTTTAAATTGCACAATCCGAAAATTGATTCATCCGTATTTTCAGTTCTTCGACACAGATCTTTGGCTATTTTTTCAAACTGTGTAAAACCTCCTGAAAATAAAAGTAAAAAACGTTTTTTAAAAATCTTTCTAACTACGAAAGGATAAAAAAAAGAATGTAGAAAGTAATAAAGATAATACAAATACTTAATTTCTAATTAAAAGGTGTTTGACATTTGAAAATTGCTAGAGCTATTTCATTCAGCTCAAGAAATCAAACGTTTAATTTATGCCAAATCAAACATCTTGCAGGTAGACAAACATATTGGTCTAAACTTGTATTTATTTTACCCCATAGACGGGAACTCTCATTATTTACAATTGAATATGTAAAAAATCCATTTTTTATCAAATTGTTAGGTCTGGGCGCACTTAATTATTTAGTTTTACGGGGCGCACTAAATTATTTTGGTTTCAATTACTTGTCAAGATGTTTCTCTACACAAGGGTCTATGGCAGGATAGTGTACTATATCTAATTACTGTAGTGAATGGGATGGGAAAATTGACTTGAGAATGGAAATATGATGAAAAGACGTCATATTTACAAAAATAAGAAAATTGTGTACATTATATACTTAGAAGAAATGACCATTATCCATCATTTTCAAAAATGACTGATTTCAGTACCACCCCTGACTGGTAATCCTTGTGTCAATATTGAAATTTATCCCATTTCCTGTCACTTGTAATTGAGGCCCTGTCGAGGGGTAAAAGATAAGGCATATAATAGCTCGATAAAGTCGGGGAAAATTACATGAAGTTTGTGGTTGATTTGTAGTCAGTGGGATTGCTTTTGTGGTCAGAGAGGCGGGCATTTTGATGGATGGTCTAAAAAGAAGTTATGATGTGTATTCGCCTCGCTGTAAACAAACTGACCACATTCAATACTATGCATCACTAATCAGCCCCGCGGTCATATTGTACACGCTCAGAGCACAAAAACAGAAACTTGTTTTTTTTACGGGAAATCCGACTTTTCACGACAACATTACACCTTTATTAAAATACAAGAAAAGGGGAACCAAACTTCCCGAACAGAAACAAGACATTTTTGATCAAGGAACCTGAATGAGCGCTTGTTTCGTATTGTTTTAATTCGTATTAATATTTTTTAAAATAATATTGTCCATTATATGGTTTTAAAAAAGAGATAAAAAGGACACATACCCGTCAAACACGAAACATTGGCCCCGTCCTGGCGTAACTTCTTCATAAGTAGATCCACCACACTCGAGGGGTTGGAGTTAGAATCCGTTGAACACTCATCATAAATCACAATTTTATGTGTTTTCCATAGTCTATTAAAGGTTTCCTTCGCTTCGTTATTTTGGATGAGACAGGAGATTTTCAGATTTCCCTTCTTGAGGCGCCTCAACATGAGGTTTGGCAGTGTAACGTTGATTGCACCCTGGATGTGAGATCTAACATAGTCGTTTTGGGGACGACAGTCCATAAGAAGTACTTTTTCACCAGCCCGGAGACTCTCCTTAAGCCATTCCGGACTGCAAAATTCCCCCGACATTTTCATTACACGTTCAATACACGGCATAACACTGAGAGCTAAGATTGTGTTTATTTTATCGCTGGTTCACCCTACTCAGCGAAGCTTTAGATGAAATCACGTGAGTGCGGTAACAGAACAGGATAGGTCGATATAAGCTACAGTTATACCGACATATTCACTGGAATATTTTAGTCTATCAAAAACCAAAACAAAGGGAAAAGGGGTTTAAGGCTTGTAGTTTTTCTTCACACGGTGTATATAATGTGTTTTAGCCAAATGTACAGCTAAACTGAATGAAGATCAAGCGCCGTATATATACTATCACCTCTCAATGAGTTCGTAACGATACAAAAATATCAACCAATAGAAAAGCATGTTTTCTGATATAGCCCCGCCCTTCTCCCATTGGTAAACGTTCCTAATTCAACAGTGTAATCTGTGTGACCTTACGGCTCAAGGTTGTCGTGTGTGTGATCTAAAAATAATCCACACTCCTATTGCCAGATGAATTTGAAATACACATCTTCTTTTTAAGATACGAAATGATTTATTTTCAGAGTTAATGTAAGGTTTATAGAAAGAAACTTTTAAATCCGATCATTTCTAAAATTGACCATGATGAATTATAAGGTTTGTAAATATTCTCAATTCCAAACTATACATCTCATGTGAAGCTAGTGTAATGATTTATATTTTTTACACACACGTTCTCTGTGAGTGACCAAAGGGGGAATTTTTAACTTTGAATAGGGAGTATCTTCTGAGTTCATTTCGAAGATCACTGTACAACACAAAAAGAATATTTTTTTGTTAATCAAATCTATTGTCGACAACGACTCGTAATAAATCATATAGCAAGTATCATAATTCATCATTTCATATCGATTTTCCCTACTTTTTTTATTTTCGCCCTGGCTTATTTTCCCTCGGCGGTTGCACACGATGTAAACAAGTTTTTTTATCAAACTGATTAAACGCCAAGTGTCACACCATATCAGATTACTGAGAGTGCTTTGAAAATTCTTTTTAACCCCTGAATTGTGTAACAGGGATATTATGAGTGAACTTAAGAAATGAGATGCTTATGAATTATTCATGCTCTGATGACTTTTTTAACGAAAATTGTAGAAACATCCATAAGGGGCCATTAGGTATTATTTGGACGGATGCCAGATCTTTTTTAAAACAATGAACTTGACATAGTTTTCTCGCGACGAATATAAATATTTTTTTTTTTAATTAAGTGTACATGTACAGAGCGACGTTAATGACTAGCCCTGGAAGAAACAAAAAATCACCCAAGAAGCCGTATAACCCTCTTAACAAGACTTGATGTAAATATTTTACAGGGTTTTTTTTAACTATCATGTACTCTGACAATTGACAAAACGCATGTAGAAATGTCGTCATGTGATCGAGTTCCTCATTTTATTCGAGTCTGTATACTTCGTTAAGTCCGGTTTTTGTAAATGTGCCATTCGTCCCAGTGCCATTAAAACTTGTCCACTTTCCAATCAAAACGAAAATCTTCGACTAGTAATGAAGGATTTTAAATCCCTTATAAAATCTCATAAAGAACTATACGCGTACTTTTTTCCACTGGTTGTGGTTCTGCTAGTTGTGGATTGTATAAGGGTATTTCATCTCTCATCCTTGGACTCGGAAACCATAGTTATTTAAGTATCATATGGGATCCTATGATGAGCTAAACATGCTAAATTTAATTAAGTTTTAAGCAGATTGGACCATAATTTCGAACTTATATATAGCATAGAATTTGAAATATATATATAGAAGAAAATAATGATCACATGACCATTGATTTATTTTCAGATATACATGTATAATTAAAAACTTAATGAAATTACATGTATCGTGCTAAACATCAATTAGAATAATTTCAATTTCACTTCCATTTTACCTGGGTAAATCCAAACCTTCATGCTTGTAGCACGTGACTTTTTAAGTAAATATTTAAACGTGTATTGTGTGTATGAATCGTGGCTATCTCTTTCGTTTATCAAACCCGACATAAGTGTTTCAGATAAAGTGAAAAAGTTCATCTAGCCTGAAATACATGTAGCCAAGGACAGAGAGAGAGAGAGAGATTCGTGAAACAGAATCTACAGAAAAAGCAAAAGATCTCCTGCAAGGGTTAGACTTGAAAGAGCTAGATTCCACTGAAAGGAATGAATTGCGTGTCGTCACAAACGTTCAAGGGTTCAAAGGAAAAATCGAAGCCAAATACATAATTGTCAATAAAGTCTTGAACTATATAGAAAAACAACCTTGAACACCGATTTTCCTTTGAAACCAGCATGTCTTAGAGGAGGTACATGTAAATACGAACGAATGACCGAACCACCCTTTTGTACAATTTAGCAAAAAAATTATAAACTGGTAAACGGAATCATACAATTGACACACAAACGTACACATATATAATGAGTTTTCTTCATATCATTGAAAAAAAATTGAATCAGCGTGTTTCGATTTGACCCCATTCTTTACCACCAGTTGCCAAATTCCAACCAGCAAGAGGAAGCGTTTGCCAAAACACCTCGCAGACTTATCAGAAGGTATAGAAGGTAAGGGATGGGCGTAATCAAAGTAAAGCGATAATCTACTCCTGATCCTATGGCTTCCCAAGACAACATTTAGTTTGGGGGTTCAACTGACACACAGTTATTATTCCAGTGGAAAGTGCATGAACAGGTTAGACAATCGCATTGAATACTGCTTTTTCTTACTACAAGATGTACACATCGACAAAAGGATGAAAATGCATTTGATAAAAATAAAATGTAAAACGAAAATCCTGGGATGTAAAATTAATGTGATTTCAAGTACCAGTGTATAAACATGATCAAGATCCTGCAGACAGCTTACAGTATGTCTAATTGAACTAACCTGTACTTTACATGAAAACGCAAGCATAACCTCTCAATAATGACTAAAATCAATCCGACCTGCCCCTCCCTTAATTTCCCATGTAATGACCCGAACGTCCGTGTAACTTCGGTTGTTGGTCTCCCAAGAACTCGGCTAACAATGATATATACACAACAGATAGCACTAATTAACAATGGTAAACTACCTAGACACGATGATCATTCATATGACAAATGTGTATATGTATTAGTGGGTAGCCCAATTCTGCGAATATACGAATCAAGAAATACTTAGTAACTAAAAGACGTGCTCATGTGCTGAATAATTACTTTACATGTACTTTTACCTAATACTCTTATAGTGTATCGCGTACACGACTTAACTGCGTGAAATATCCTTTTGAAAAGAAAGTAAGACAATAATTCAATTACTCTTTTTTAAGCTGGAAATGTATCGTGACCACGACTCAAGTGCGTGAAACACATAAACTTGAAAGAACATGATAATACAATAATTATATTGTGGATAATAAGCTCCCAGATCCCTTCTTCCTTATTTTTTTTTATTAAGAACGTGGATGTGGTATTTAGAAGGAAAGCTGATCTTCTAATCCATTATCACATCATTATCACGTATTATTACATATTTTGAGATATTCTTCAATAACGGCAACATCGACCCGTACTATAAAAATAGCAGGGTACTACTTTTGTGCATGTGACGTCATACATGTAGTATGTTTATTCCGTCTCCCCCATCTTAATCACATCACACATATGTACATTTGACATCAAAATATCCACTGAGCTGAAAGTAAACTCAAGTACTTCAGAGAGTCAGAGAGTGTATTGGCATAAAAATATTTTATAAAGTGGTTATCATCGAGAAATATGTCCAGCCTTAGTCTTTCCGCGCATGCGGATATCGCACTCGCGCAGAAGTCTCGATCGAACATTCTTTTACATGTGTGTTATATACATGTAATACACAATGTATCTTATGTATTGATTTCTTGATATTTAATTAGTTAAGGACATGCAATACACAGTTATTCCCCCTTTTGGACAAAGTCTATGTGTGAAAATTGAGATTATGTCTTTTTTGTTTCAAAGTTGAAGATGTAGACGTTAATAGCAAACCAAAAACTAAATGTTGCATGAGAAATTATCATTATCATATATCTTGAATGATCTAATGTTTTTATGAAGATTAATATCTAAAATAGGACAGACTATTGAAAAGAAAGTTAATGTTACAGGGTTATTAACAAATAACTTTGATTCCACCATCATTTGCCCCAGAACTCTAAGCCAATAAGCCAGTCTTCTGCATGAATTATTTCTTTTTGGACAGTCAAGTATCGTTTTGTAACTTTAGGTCATTATTTATACTGATTAGTTAAGCTTTTTACTACCTATAAACAAAGATGTTAACGACAATAGAAATCACGAAAGGTTAATCTTTAAACGGATTTGTTTGAATCCCTGTAACATCATTTATCTGTCAGTAGCCTGCCTCCTTTTTTTCAAGACAAATCCTAATTAGTACAGCGATCGCCTCTCCCCAGTATAGTATAACGCATGAGGTCACCATTAGAGCCGTCCAATAATTTGTTGGGTTTTTTTTCGTTTTTTGACACTATGAAGTGTGTCTCCACGACAGATTTTCTTTTCGTTGGTTTTTTTCATTCAAATGAAATTTATTTTCTTCTGGTCTGATTCATCTTTGTTTTCCTCTTTGTTTCCAATTCATTGCAACCATTCTGATAGAATCTGGGTACATCCTTTCAATAGGTTCAATCCATACCCATCTCACCAGCGACATTAATTCAGACATAAATATACAGTGTAATTTATGCTTTTTTATATGACTCCTTATTTGAGAAGATTTTTAAAAGGCAGAAATGGTAAAAGTTGTAAAATTCTGCACAGATGTTTTGTTGGGAAAACTAATTATACTTAACTTGATGTTACAGTGTAAAAGTCTTTACTTCAAAGACTCTACTCAATATATGGGGACTCGTAAGGCAAGGTTCTTATAAATGAATAATTTAATACACTGTTCGTGAGTTTACCCTGTTGTACCTCAAGAAATATGATCAAATACTAGTCTGGCTTTGAAACGGGCTTGCATGTAGCTCACTTTCTGCTTGCGTTTCATATTGGATGTAAATCGACCTTGATTCTAACTTCCTTCACTTTTGTTTGAATTCAGAGTAATGCAATTGTTTGACTTTTATTGGTCTTTATTTTATCTTATCTTGTTGAAACCTGTATGTCTAGTCCCAATTGTTTTGACACTGTGGACTTGACATTGGTCATATCTAGCATGTCTAAAAGACGCTAACAGTACAATATAAATGACTCTTAGAAACACAAATTATCTGTATTAATTAGAAAGGAACA